ACTTCCTTTTCCTTCGGTAGTGGAGGCCAAGTTCTAATTTGAGAGAGGGTGAAGGAGGGTGACATATTAAAGAAAAGGGCACCCTATACCCACATGCTCTCTGACTCCTCCACTATTTCCATTATTGGATTTTTTTCCCCCAGATCCTAATTATTAAGCTTCCTTAAGCACATGTCCTCTGTTCTTACTTGTTAAACTCTTAGGTCTCTGTGGCTCAATTATTAAATCCATGAGCTGGAAAATAAGGGTCTGTGCTAGCCCTAGAGATGGTGATGACGTTTACATAGCACCCAGACACTCCAGGAGTTTACAGATTAGTGGAAAGACCAAAATACTGGAAGATAATTTATACATACCTTAAATTGAGTCATCTTCTGGAGTCTCTTTAAGAAAAAAAAAAAATCAAGTTTTTATTACAGTGAGAAGGCCTCATAAAATAAGCCAGACAGACTCCATGATGAGCTTCACTTTCTTACTAAGACAAAACAGACCTGAGTTTTCTGTTTCTCAGAAAAAAGAAACCAATCACAATCAGCCAACCTTGGCTTGGGGAGAGAAGGTTGCTTAACTACCTGAGAAGCCCCTGAGCCCTGATCAGTGTCTCAGAGCCTCCACAGGCACTGGCCAATCCCAATCGAGGTCATGTAGCCCCTACAGCCACCTACGAGTTTGGGTCTGTTTGAACCAGTTTAGAGAGCTCCCTAGCCCCTCCCTAGCCAATCCTGGAAGCACTTGAACCCTGGCTTCCGACCTGTGCCAATCAACATAAAGATGACCTAATGGTTCCTGAAATTCCCTTAGTTGGCTTTAAATAGAGGCAGTGTGCTCATCTGGGGGTAGCCATTCAGCCTGGATGGTGGCCCCAGCATGCTGGTCTTCTGCAGAATAAACATCCTTTATTGCTTGCATGCTCCTCAAGTCTGGGGTCATTCTTTCATCTTCCGGACCCTAACAACAATATATGAGGCCAAATTTGTTTCACTGTGGCATTTTCACATATGCATATAATAAACTTTGATCATATTCTTCTCCTTCCTATTAGCCTCCTGTGTTCTCTGCTTTCACTATCTGTCTTATTTCCCCAAAGAGTAGGAGTTTCTTGAGGATGCAACTACCTACCATGCACCGACAGCTCCAAGTGCAGAAAGCTTTCTACCTGACCTTTTTACCAACTGTTCCTCATTAGGGACGGACCATGTGTGCCTCTGTGGTATCCATAGCTCTTCTCAGATGCATCCCTCCTCTATGTCTTCCTTTCCACAAGAGTGGCCCTTGATATTCTCCTCCATGCTCTGGACAGTGACCTTTGAGCCACTGCAACATCTGTCTCAATGCCAGTGTCTTACTTACTTTTCTATTGCTGTGAAGAGACACCACGACCAAGGCAATTTATGAAAGAAAGTATTTAATTGGGGGCGCACAGTTCCAGAGGCTTGTAGAGTCTATAATCATGGTGGGGAGCACCGCAGCAGGCATGTAAGAAAGGTGCTGGGGCAGTATCTGAGGGCTTTTGTGTTGAGACAACAACCATGATGGAGGGAGAGACAGAGAGCTGGGAATGGCACAGGCTTTTGAAACTTCAAAGTCCACACCCCTCCTCCAACAAGGCCACACCTCTTAATCCTTCCCAAACAGTTTTATCAACTGGAGAACTGACACTCAGACATATGAGTGTCCAGGTGGCCATTCTTATTCAAGCCACCACAGCCAGTCTGGCCTAGCTATTTCTCTCAGTTCCTAGGCTTATAGGACAGAACACACAGCGCTCAACACTCGAAGTTACCTACCCCTGCCAACCTTCAACCTTAGCTCCTGCTGAGGCAGGATAGAAAGACAGGGAAAATGAAATGGCCATTCAAAGAACACTGTCCTTGCTCTGGGCTCTAGTTTGCCTTTCCTACTGATAGAATCAATGAACTGCAATACAAACCAAAAAGCCAAATTGCCTATGGAGATAATGTGTGTTTTCTTAAAAACATCTTAAGACTGACGTTAAAAACAGCAAATGAACTAGTCTGTTAATTTTAATTTTGTTAATTTAAATTATGCATTTATCTGTGTGTGGTGTGTATGTGTGGGGTGTGTGTGTGTGTGTATACAAACTTGTGCATATACACAACACAATGTATATATGGTGGTCAAAGGGCATTTTGCAGAAATCAGTTCTCTCCTTCCATCATGTGGATTCTGGGGATTGAACTCAAGACCTCAGGCTTGGTGGCAAGCACCTTTATTCACTAATTAATCTCACTGACTTGAGTGAACTATTCTTACAGGAGATCAGAATGTTTGTTTGTTTATTATTTTACTTTATTTAGTTTTTCGAGACAGGGTTTCTCTGTTTAGTCTCGGCTGTCCTGGACTAGCTTTGTAGACCAGACTGGCCTCCAAATCACAGAGATCTTCCTGCTCTGACTTTCCAAGTGCTGGGATTACAGGCATGCCCGGCTGTACCAGAATGTTTGTAATGCTGAGTTTTTACCATACTGGCACCTCTCATCCCTAAATGTAAGATCTGATTCTTGAGTGCACAAGTGTGCGTGCGTGTGTGTGTGCGAGCACGCGTGTGTGCGTGTGTGTGTGTGTGTGTGTGTGTGTGTGTGTGTGTGTTGCACAAAGGTATTGGAAGCCAGAAGAGGGACTTAGATCCTTTGGAACTGGAGATAACGGGCAGTTGTGAGCTGTCCAAGGGCTCTTAATCACCGAGCTGTCTCTCAGACCCTTCACCCCTAATCTAAATAATGCACCCCATAAAAACACTTTACAACTTCATTTACTGCAAAAAAAAAAAGTCCTTTAAAAAAAGCTAACAAGTTCATATGCTTACTTAACTTTTAAACTTTAATTTAGACTTTGCTTAATCTTTAAACCCTGTATTTTACATCCTTAGGGAAGTTGAAACGTCTCAAAGCCACAAAATCATCCATATAGGCATCCAAGTGTGACTCTCTGTGAGGAGCCCACATCCATGTCTCCAGGTTGTGTGCTGCCCTTTCCTATTCAACTCGCTTTCTAAGTAGTTACTGCATTTACTAACTTTATTTCACTATAGTTCATCCTGAAATCTTTCTGTGGTATAGTCAAGATTGTGGCTGAGTGGAGGTCCTTAACTCCAAAGGGAATGACTCAGGCTGCTGGTAGCTGCCATGTTAGGGTTTGTTCTTTGCTCTGGCTGGAGAGGCTGCCCTGCTCATCCACTTCATGGATCCCTCCTACCTTTAGTCACCGTTCAGGAGCCTCCCAGCCCAGCCCCCACACACCCATAAAGTGCACTGGTATCTCAGCCCTGTATCTGGGCTTTGTGCTTCTCTGGTTACCCGTGCCCTCTCTCATTATCTGGGACTGAATGCTCCTTCCCACAGGCCTGAGAGTTCCTTGAAGACTAGGGTATTCATCTCCGAGTCCTCAATCCCTTCAACAGAGGAAAAAGCTCAGGTGTGCTAGGCTTTGTCCTAAGCCTTGTACACTGTAGGAGAAAGATGTTACTATGGTATCCAGCCACCGTAAGGGCAGGGGACAATTGGGACAATTGCTTGAACACGGCTGCCGGAAGTAGCAGAGCCGAGGTTTGAAATTCAAGCATCGGGCTCCAGGTGTCGCTTGTAATTCCTGGCTCATCTGCCCTTGCACTTACACAAGTGCATCCCTGTCAAGTGAACATTTTTATCTCCCCGTCTCAGAATGCAGGTAACCAAAGCCTGCAGCTCTCCCAGCAGTGCCCCTTCTCCACATCTGCCCCCCACTGCTCCCTCAAGAGTTCAGAGAAACTTGGCGTCTTTGACTCCCACTTCTTCTCTCTTCACCCCTTCCTCCATCACACCCAGCTACTACGTGTTTGTTTTCCTTGGAAAACATCAGGTTCACTTCTTCCGCTTCATTCTCTCTTGCTTTCCTCTGGGCAACAGCTTCCTTCAGGTGTCCCTGATTTTCGGGGCCTCAGAGTTTATATCTCCCTCCAGGGTTTCTCTTCGTAGCCTTGGCTGTCCTAGAACTAGCTCTATAGACCAGGCCGGCCTCAAACTCGCAGAGATCCACCTGCCTTTGTCCTCTGAGTGCTGGGATTAAAGGAGTGTGCCACCACCACCTGGCTCATTTACATTCCAAAGAAGGACTGCAGGTTCAAAAGGAATTAGTTTGCTGCAAGCTCCAAGGAGACTAGAGACTTTGGGCAAGTAACTAAACCTCCCAGAGTCACAGCTCATTCATAAAACGAAGATAATAAATAACAGTGATTACCTCACTGTGAGATAGCTCAGTGATTATCAGCAGTGAAAGGTCACAGCCCTCATTCATGAAAGCTACATACAGTGTGTCTAATATTTCATTTCACTAAGTGTGCCAGATAAAATGCTCTCTGGACATTTTGGAATCATAGTTGAAAGGAAGTTACTTTGCCTGGCTCCTTCTTTGCCCTTCAACTCTCTGCTGGGAAGTTCATTTTCAGAATGAACTTCAAAAGATAATACATTTTGGGGAAAGTGGCCAGGATGTGTTGTTCTGTGATGTCTGGGTTGTGTGACCTTGTGAGGAGAGAATGAAGCCTCTAACAAAATAGAAACAGTAAGATCATCCTCCAGAAGAATACTGATAAAGATGTTTATACAGTCTTTACACACGACATGACGTAAGACTTTACCGCAATCAGATTATTTGAGAATCCTTTAGTGCAAGTCGTGGATGAGATGGTCATGTAGATCACATGGCGTTAAAAGCAAGTATTAAAAGTAGAGGAAAGGTAGAAGGCCTATGCAAATCTGTCTGTGTCTCGGCAACTGCTTTCTTAAAATCCTCATTGCCTTCTCCCAGCAGAGATGCAGAAGACCACCCCCATCACCCAGAGCTCCGCCTCTCGGGTCTAGTGACGCAAGCCTAGGCCCCGCCCCTCTACGGCGCAAGGGCCTGGGAGATCGGAGTCACGTGAGCGTGAGTGCGGAAGTGAAGCTGCGGTACGCGATCATGATTGGTCGTGACGAGGTCCTGCGGGCGGGGCCAGGAGCCGGAGGTGCCGGGGGAGGAGGCTGTCGTGGGGGCCGGCTTGGAGTGGGATTCGGCCCACGGCGCTGACCGAGTGCTGGGTCGACGGCCGTCGGGCGCCCGGGTCTGCGCGCACCGCTACTCCGGGTCGCCCCGGCCGAGGCGCTGGCCGCGGGAGGCCTCAGGAAGGGCTCGGGCTGCCAGGCCGGGCGCCATGTCCATGGAGGACCCCTTCTTTGTGGTGAAAGGGTGAGTGTGTGCGAGGACTCCCGCCGCTGGGGGAAGGGAGGGAAATCGAGGCAGGGCGGCACAGCCGCTGCGCCCGGACGCCGTGCGTCGTCCGTGGCTGGGCCCCCCGCGATCCCGCCTTCGGCCCGCACCCCCACTTTCTCGGGGTCGCGCGCCGCAGGTGGGGAGCGACGTGCTGGAGCGGGCGGACAGCATCTGGGCAGGAAATGGGAAATGGCCCTCCTGGAGTGGGCGTGCGCGGGGGCGAGCTCCATTGTGGAGTCGGGGAGCTAGCCCGGGACGGCCACCCCTCGGCCCGCCCGGTGGCGTCCAGCCGGTGCGGGAGCCGGGTGCGGGAGGACGCGCGCTTTCCCCGGGGAAGAGGTCCTCCGGGCCCGGTGCTGATGTTGGAAGGAAAACAATATGCAGTCAGCCAAACCAAACTTTCCAAGGCTTTCTGTGGGCCACCGGGATTTTCCCACCGTGTCGAAGGAAATGAGTGTTTCTTTTGAACTCCTTGGTTTCGTCCCGGGTATTTGACAGGTTTCCCTCACTTCGCGTTCTGCCTTTCGGAAGCCAACCGCCCTCTTTTTGAGACGGAGCTGTTCTGACTCCATCTTTGATTGTCTGTTGGGAGATGGAAACATCAATTGCACTTTGTTGTATCAACTTTGTAGCCATTACACAAATGCAAGAAAGAGCAATTATGATGTTGCAACTTACTTCTAATAACATGTCAGCTTTATGCTTTGAATATCAGAGAAATGTCAAAAATCTGAGATCTGTAAAGTTAAGACAGGATGAGCTCTGCTCTACTGACTGTGAAGTGTTCCTTGCTGTTTACTAGATGCTACTTGCGTCTTATTTGTGTAGTAGTAAAAGCTGACCAGTTGTGTGGGTGTTTGTTTTTGTATTTAAGGGTCCTGAGAAAATGTAAATGTTATTTTACGTGAGATGCTTTATTAACCAAGGTGTCTACAGTCAAATATATTATGACTGCTTTTTTGGGGGGAGGTGCGGAGGGCTTTCCGAGACAAGGTTTCCCTGCGTAGCCTTGGCTGCCCTGGAACTCACTCTGTAGACCAGGCTGGCCTCGAGATCTGCCTGCCTCTGCTTGGGACTAACGGCCCCCCCAGCACCCGACTAAGACCGCGAGTACATTTCCTTAAGAGGGTTTTTCTTTCGCTTTGCCTTAATTTAGATGGGAGAATAGGAAGGTATAGATTTAACAGTAAAATTTACGTGCTTGGAAAACGTGTTATTCATTACGGAATTGATTTAGATTTTTAGTTGTTGGTTGTTTTTGTTTGCTTGTTTGTTTTTGCTTTTTTAAATTAGAGTTAATTTAGAGCTGTATACTTTCCCTTGAATGGAAGGTTTTTTTTTTTTTTTTTTTTTTTCTTGTGGGGGGGTATGTGAGTGCCGTGGCACACATATGGAAGTCAGAGGACAACATTCAGGAGAGTCCCTTTTTAGGGATCTAACTCTAGAATTTTAGGCGTGGCAGTAGGCACCTTTGCCTGCTGAGCCATCTCACCAGCCCCAGAATTGAAGTTTTTAGCACCCAAATTGCAAAAGTTGTCTCTGGTGGTGAATAGATGTCAGAGATAACCAGAAAAATTTTGTTGGCCTTTGAGTGAAATTTTTTGAAAATTCTTCCTCGCTCAGGCATATTGATATTCCACCCCTGGAGTCTACCAGCACTTGCTTATTAGAACACTGTCATAGGTCACTTGTTGCAATAGAAAAAAACAAGGCAGTCACATCGGTGTTTCCAGATGTGTGATAGTATGTTTATGCATATCTCTTTAACAGTATTGAAGGCCACTGAGATATCTTGGTAGATAGGGGCACATGTAGCCAGGCCTGATGACCTGAGTTTGATCCACAGAATACACCTAGCAGAAGCAGTCCTGCTTGTTGTCCTCTGACCTCCTCATGTGGGAACTTACACACACACACACACACACACACACACACACACACACACGAGATGGAAAAGTTTAAAAAACTAGATAAAAATGCATCACAATGTAGAAAAGGTAAAGATGTCTCAGCTGTGACCCTTAAGGTGCTGCTAGTGTAATCAGTGCAATAAATCATGTCAGAATTAAGTAGAAATGACAGTGGTCCATAAGTGGAGACGTGCTTTCCACAGATGATGAGCACCTCAGACAGTGCCTTAGGAATTGTTATGGCAGGAAAAGCTACAGAAACAGGGGTGTTTTGAGGGTAGCAGAATTCAGACACTTTAGGCTTCTCTCTCTTCTGTGTAGAGGCTTAGGAAAGAGAATTGAGTGCTCCTACTCCCATTTTCTTTCTTCTGTCGTTTGATGTATTTGCTTAAAACTGTCCAGCAGAAGCAGGAAGTGGTGACAAATGTCTTTAATCCCATCACTCAGGAGGCAGAGGCAGGTGGATCTCTGAATTCCAGGGTGGTTTACAGAGTGAGTTGCAGGACAGCCACGGTTACACAGAGAAACACTGTCTCTAAAAAACAAACAAACAAATAAACAAACAAAAAACTTGTTCAGCAGAAATATAATGCAAGCTCTCTTTCCTTTCCTTTTCTTTCTCCCTCTCTCCCTCCCTTCTTCCCTCCCTTTCTTCCTCCTTTCCTTCCTTTTGTGGCCAAGTCTCATGTATCCCAATCGGGCCTTGAACGTCTGATCCTGTTTCTACCCTCTGATTGCTGGAATTATGAGCATGCATTATCATTTTAATTTTTTAGTAGTTGCATTAAAAAGAAGTGAAGGTGATTTAATGTCTTTTTAGTAGATTCAAAATATTACTGCTAGCTGTGAGTTTTTTGTTTGTTTGTTCGTTTGTTTGTTTTTGAGATAGGGTCATGTTATGTAGAACTTGCTGGCCTGTACTTGCGGTGTAGCCCAGGCTAGCCTTAAACTCAGAAGTCATTCCTCAGCCTCATGAGTGCTGACATTAGAGGCATGCACTTGGCTTCAACATGCAATTAAAGATACTTGTATTAAGTCTTCAAAATTTATTATTTTAAACTTCTATCTTATTTCAATTTGAATGTTAAATTTTTGAATATATTGTTCTATATTTAGAATTCACTGAACTCAGAGCTCAAAAGAAATATTCAAAGTCTGGGATGATAGGGGATACCTGTGATTACAGTGTCTGGAAGTGAGAGGCAGAAGGAACAGGTGTTCAGCAGCTAGCCTCATAATGAGTTTGAGGTCAGCCTGGGCTACATGGAATGCTATCTCAAACAAGAACGGAGAGAGAGAAATCCACATGCCCTAATAGCTCCAAACATACCAGTTTTTGACAACCAAATTGCCTATCAGTTTTTAAAATAATTAAATTTAAGTTCCTCAGTGACACTACTTTTAAGGGCCTTAGTTATTCTTGAATAATCACATGTGAATTTCATATTGGAGACCAAAATACAGTCTTCAGGGCCCAGGCAGGTGTAAGAAGGTGTAACCTACTTAATACCGCCTAATGGCTGCCTGTTGCCTAAGGAATAAAATGAAAGATCAGAACACTTTTTCCATTACCTTACTGCCAACCTAAGTTCAGCCAAATTCAGAAGAAAGTCTCTGCTTAATTCTCCACAGTCATCACATTTTGACCCCTACTCACTGCCATGCATCCCTGACTTTGGCATGACTGTGACCAAGTCCTACAGAGAACGAGGGAGGAAGGACTGGTTTCTGACTTAGGCTTTCAGAAGGTTCAGTCCATGGTCTCTTGGCCTCACATGCTTGGGCAGAACATGATGTCAGTGGGAGAGTGTGGCAGGGGGGAACTGTTCATTCATGACAGGCAGTAGCCGAGAAAGTGAGGCAGGAACAAGATACCCCTGGGAAAACACACACACACCACACACAGAGTCCAGCTAGGTCCTCCCTCCTAAAGTTTTGAGAACCCCCAAACAACACCACAGCTGGCCACAGCTGAGGCCCAGCCTGTGAACACACATGCCTCTTGAGGTGGCACTTCATTCCCAAGCACAGCATGCTGCTCCCACAATGCCCTGCCGTAGTTCTCACACCACTGATACCCAGGTGGGGTCAGGAGGGGGTCTGACTGGTCCTTACTCTCACTATTCTTGGCTCTGAACCCATCACACTTGTGTTCTTGGAATTGCTTGTGTTTCTTGCCCTTGTGCTTCTCTAGTGTACAATTTTCTTTCTCCCACCTGATCCCCGTATCTATTCCTCAGTGGTCCTTTACAGCTTTTGGGTGCTCACCAGCGTTCACAGGTTTCCAACTGTATTTCAACCCTAACCACTTACCCAGGGTTAACCCCTTCCTTGTTAGCCACCTACAGAACATTCCAGTTGCTAAAACCAAGCATCATCACATCTCCTACAAGAAAAACAGGTATTCAAACAAGCAAGCAAAGGCAGACTGAAAAGAAAGCCCGCTTCCTTCTCCAACTCCTACGGCAGCCAGCAGGGCCACCACTTCCCAAGTTTGGAAACCTGTCTAGGTGTGAGTCACTGCCCCCTCCTTCACTTCTCATCCTGCACAGCCTCCACCAAGTCAGCTCTGAGGTTTTAGACCTGCAAGGAAGGTTCAAGATTTCCTGGCCTTCCCCCATGTAACAGCTGAAGAGATGGGGGTGGGGAGGTTGGGGATATGGTTCAGTCAGTTTGGCTTGCCTCAGATTCATTTCTTGAGTATGAAAAGCGTTCCGCCACCAAGACCTATTTAATCTCAGTTCTGAAAGCCTGACATCTGCTTTTCTTACAGAACCCCAAGATCTGTGTTTGCGCCCTTGAAAAGGTGATTTTAAGTTAGTGAATAGTAACTTCTGTTAACAGAACAAAACAAAAACCTCACCTACTGGTGGCTGGAGAGATGACTCAAGGGTTAAGAGTATTTGTTCTTGAAGAGGAACCGGGTTTGAGTCCCATTACCCACTTGGCAGCTCGCAGCTGTTCATAACTCTAGTTCCAAGGGATTTGATACTCTCTTCTGACCTCCACAGGAACCAGGCATTCATGGGAGCACAACACTCATATACATAAAATAAAATAAATTAA